CAGTCATCGAAAGACCTGTAGCCTCCTCCCTTAAGCCCTCCCAGGCCCGAGTTCCCACAGGAGAGAAGCGAGCTCCACGAGCCCTCTCAGAGAACAGGGACAATTCCTGACCTGTCTGCTGTCACCCCTGGGATCCAGCCCAGTTGTGGGAACATTAGAAAGAAGATAAGGTTCCCAGATGCTGGGCTCACATTACCAGTTTGTTTGTTTGTTTTTAAGATTTATTTATTTTATGTATAGGAGTACACTGTATCTGTCTTCAGACACACCAGAAGAGGGTACAGAATCCCATTACAGATGGTTGTGAGCCACCATGTGGTTGCTGGGAATTGAATTTAACACCTCTGGAAGAGCAGATGGTGCCTTTAACCACTGAGACATCTCTCCAGCCTAGTTTTTAAGGATGGACTTGTGTTCTTGGAATCAGGGGGAACCAAATCTAGGGACAAGGCCCCATCTAGCAGGGGCCTTTGAACCCATCGTCCTTTTCTGTTTTGTTTCTGTGTTTGTGTTTTTTAAGACAGGATCTCACTATGTAGATCTGGCTGTCCTCACGCTGTAGACCAGGCTGGACTCCAGAGATCCGCCTGGGTCTGCTTCCTGAATGCTGGGATTAAAGGAGTACACCACCATGCCTGGCGTGAGTCCATCATCTTTAAGTTACTCATTTATGAAATAGATATGGCCTGGAGTTCCCCAGGGGCTAGACACCCTGAGAGATCCGAGAGACAGGATCATCAGGCCTACATGGAGGCGACATGGGTTGGGATCCCAGCTCCTCCACTCTCTAGCAGAGGTGGACCGATCACACCTCACTTCCAGATAGGTAGGTATGGAAATCGAGTGTGATCAGAGCAGCACCTGACTCCTGACATGCTACACAGAGATAATTCATGCAGAATTCCCAGGCACAGGAGCACCCACAAAGAGGAGCAAAGGGGAGGACTCGGCTGCTTGACGACCTCAGGAGATAGGTTTTGTTTTGTTTTGGTTTGGTTTTGGTTTTTTCAAGACAGGGTTTCTCTGTGTAGCCCTGGCTGTCCTGGAACTCACTCTGTAGACCAGGCTGGCCTCGAACTCAGAAATCCGCCTGCCTCTGCCTCCCAAGTGCTGGGATTAAAGGTGTGCGCCACCACTGCCCGGCTTTGTTTTGGTTTGGTTTGGTTTTGGTTTTCTCAGGGGATAGGTAACTGTTCTCCAAAGGTCCACACTTGCATTTTTTTAATGTTTCATCTTTTAACTCATTGAATATTAATTTTTAGTTATGTGTGCATGCATCTGGCTGCATGCAGATATGTGCAGGTGCCTACATGGTCCAGGTGGTATTGGATTTTTTGAAGCTAAAGTTACAGGCAGTTGTGAATCACCAGATATAGATGAGATGCTGGGGATAGAATCCAGGCCTCTAAAAGAGCCACAAATGCTCTTAAACCCCTGGGGCTGTCTCTCCAGCATCAAATACACACACCTTTAACACCCTGGCATTATGTTGGGCTTTCTGCATCCATTACTGAATTTCTCCCCACAGCTCTGACAGAGGTATAACTTGGCCCCTTTAGCAGAGAATGGGGAGAGATCTCCAGGGCACACACAAGGCATCAAAAACAGGGAGAGCCCACAAGTCTGGGCTCTTCATCCTGCCCAGCAATCCAGAGCTCCTGTCCCCAGCCTCCTGCATTTCATGTTTATCCTACCTTGAGGCTGACGCTGACGTCGTTGGTGCTGCCCTGACCCTGAGCAAGGTCAGGGCAGCTCTGGCCGCCCCAGGGCCTAAGAAGGAACACAGGGAAAAAGAATAAGGAAAGTTCTGTTCCAACATTTTTCCAACACACAGCCTGAGATTAGTGGCCCCTATCCACCTAATCCAGGGCCCACAGCCCAGCAGAACGAGCCCCACTCAAGCCTTTGGAGAAGGGCTACCAGCAGCATCCTCAACTTCCTTCACCAGTTCCCAAACACACACACACACACACATGCACACACCACACACACACAGACACATACACACACACACACACACACACACACACACACACCAAGAGCATGCATGCCAGGCTTAACCCTAGGGTCCCTACCTATCTGATCAATTTTAGACCTCAGAAAAAAGTCAGCTTCTATGTTCTTCAGAGAAGAAAAACAGAGGCACAGAGAGTCAAAGTCACTTGCCCAGAGGCACACACAGCTAGTGTGCCTTAGGCAGAAGGTCAGCAGAACTGTCCCGATTCCAAGCATGACTGGACATTGTACTAACGGGAGGAAGATTTAGAAGTGTGTTGCCTAACCCGCTGCCCCTCCCCTGAGTGGGATCAGCGGAGATCAGAGGCCTGTGCTCCAGTTCAGGGTCCCATTCCCACAGCTGGTAAGAATGGGGCCCAACTGTATACGAGGCATGCATGTATCATCATGCTGGCTGTGCAGTCCCTCTCCTGCCCTCCTCACTCCTGACTCACCTGCATCCCAAACCAGCCTCCTCTCTGAGTGTGGAGGGGCGTGGGGAGAGCATATCAGGCCTATAGGGCAGGTTTCTGCCAGACAGGGTAAGGGAGAGGGTGTGTCTTCCAGGTGGGAGTGGGCCAAGCTCTAGCAGGGTGTGGGCACCCCAGGGGACTTGGGCTTCCAGGCACAGGGTGTCTGGGCCCTCCCCTCTTTAGGGTGAGAGAGCAATATCATCTCCTCCCCGCTGCCCCCACCACGCCCTCTTCTCTCCTGGCCCAGCAGGCCTGAAGACAGCTGCATCATGATAAGATCAGAACAAATTGCCAGTAACTGCATAGACATACAAACACCCAACACCCGGCACCAACAGCACACCCACACTCTGCTCCTGCAGAGCTTAGGAACTATGGGGGCCTGATGGAATTTTCAGTATCCCCTTACCCATAGGGCAGGACTGCTGTCCACTCTGAGCTACCATGAAGGGCTCAGACAAGTGAAGGAACTTGCCCAGGCTACTCAGCCAGCAGGCAACCATGAGTAGCAGCCTGCCATCACTGGCTTCTGCTCTCGCCATCTGCATAGCAATAGGGCTTTTGGAGAAGTGCGTTCAGAAGTCAGCCAGCTAAGGGGCATGCGTATCTCGGTTTCATCTTTTCCCAGCTGTGTGACTTTACATAGGTGACTTCACGGCTCTGAACCTCTACTTCCGGATCTGAGTCACATGGGATATATGTCTTCCAAGGTTGCCAAGAGAATTGCTTCAGATCATCCAGGGAAAGCATGAAGCAAGTGGCATATAAAGATTTATTGTGGGTATAGTCTAGAGTTATCACCAAGTTCTGGGGGGACAGGGGGAAGCCCATGCACGGCAACTGAGGGCAAAGACCGTTCCAGACTCACAACAAAAGACCTCAGAGGCCAGAAAAACATTGGCCTGTGACGTGAGAACCAAAGTCCACAGCCACGGCTGGCAGCAAGAGGAGGTACTGAAAAATCCTTGGTCGACAGCTTGCCTGACAGGAAGTTGTCAAAGTCGCTTTAAGTTACAAAACAAAAACATGCGGACAATCCAAAGTAATGGAGTATATTTGTAATTCCAGCACTTGGGAGGCTGGACAAGTGGACTGGTACAAGTTTGAGGCCAGTTTGCTCTACATACACACCACTACCTTATCTTCTAACACACACACACACACACACACACAGAAATTCCACAGTTCACAGATCCAATCATGGCAGCAGTCACTACTCTTGCATGCTGATTACAACTCTCATTAGAATTTTATACACACGAGTCACAGACGCATGCCCCTAGGCCAGGGTTGCTCCACCCAGCCCTTCTCCATCTCCCCTCACCTATCCTGGAGTCTGGCCTCCTTTGAGGTCTTCCCCTTCCTCTCCCTTCGGCCCCCTAGTCCAGTCAAGACCTGGGCCAGGCGAGCTCGGAAGCCCCTGCGCGGCTCTCTCATGGCGAGATCCAGGCTTTGGGCCGGCGGGGCACTTGGCTGAGGGTGCCACCCGGATCCACTGTCCAGGCCAGAGAAGCACCTCCTCCGGCCCGTCCCTCTGAGCAAACAGCGACCTTGCTAGCAAGGGCCGCGGGTGGGGACCTGATCCAAATGTCGTCCATGCCCTGCGGCTGCATCAGTAAGTTGCTGTGCCCACCTCAGGTCTCAATCCGGAGCACTCCTCCCAAGTCCCACATAGACCTCCCCCTCCCGAGCTCATGCTCTCTGCTCTGTCCACCACTGGGGATGTCGGAGATGGATTTGTGTGCGCACTCGGGAAGTCGGACCTGTTTCTCAAAAGTTCGCAAAGACGAAGAGAGTCTGGGACCCCCGGGACTAGGAAACTGGACGGAGCCTAGAGACCTCCGGGCGTGGCTAGATCCCTGGAGCAGAGCTCGGACAGGAAGCGGGCAGAGTCCGGCCAACTGGGACAACTGGGCGGGGCTTAGCCCAAGGGGCTGGCATCCCGCCCCCCAAAGATGTGACAAAAGGTGAGCAGAGACTGGGCCTTCGTTGCTGGCAGGGCCAAAGCTCACTTTACCATTGACTGATGGGCTCCCTAGGAGAGTTCTCTCTCTTGGAGCCACCTATCACGTGGAGTGGGATTGTCACTCCATATGAAGGTGAGGAAGCCACCTGAAACCAACAAGATGCGACTGGCGTCCTCTGCTGCAGAACCTCACAGTGGCTAAAAATAAGTCATTCGTTTTAGCCTTCCTTTATTCCGCTTCTAATCTGATCGTCCCAGGCAGTTCGCTTTCCTGCCTGGCTCACACTTCGCACGTCTGAGGGGATCCCCGGGAGATAGGCCATTGGTACGGCTCAATTGCCCCACTCTTCTGCCGGCTTTTCCCTTTCTGTAGTCCGGATTGGCTGGACGCCCCTTGCCCCTCTGGTGCTGGTACACAGGGGACATCATGATTGTGGGTCATGAGAGGACAGGAATATCTTTTTTTTTTTTAAGATCTATTTATTTTATGTATATAAGTACTCTGTCTTCAGACACACCAGAAGAGGGCATCAGATCCCGTTACAGATGGTTGTGAGCCACCATGTGGTTGCAGGGAATTGAACTCAGGACCTCTGCAAGAGCAGTCAGTGCTCTTAACCGCCGAGCCATCTCTCCAGCCCAGACAGGGGATAGCTCTTTTTTTCACCTCCATCCCGGAGAGAATTGCATCCCACCCGATCCTAGGAGGTAATACCAGCTGACCTCTACTTTGACTAAGAAGGAACTGCAATTAGAAAGTGGTAGGCAGGAACCCACAGGACAATCGGAGGTGTTGGGAAAGGTGCTCCGGAAGGAACAAAACACGTCCTGTGATTGGCCAACACACAAATCTTCATTGCTTCATTCTCCAGTTACCTCAAGATGCTCAGTCCATCAGACCAGGTAACTAAAGTGGCTGATAATAACCCCATGGCTGAGGCTGAGTCCTCCTGACTCCAGTGCCCCTCCTCCCGCTGAGCACACTCTGCCTTCATCCAGTCCTGAAAGGTAGCGCTGTCCACTGGTGAGTTGAGATAAAGCGCTCAGTTCCAGATAGGTCATAGAAAGAGAATGGAACCCACACCCAGCCTGAGGCAGATGGCTGCATAGACCCACCCCTACACGGGCTGTGTGCCTTGCCACTTCCAGGTGACAAGTGGGATCTGGCAGGGACATTCCCTTCCACTGGAGACACTCAGGAGGCCTTGACTCAGCACTGAGACCATCTTTTAACTGCCAACACTCTGCTCCCAGAGAGAAATCCCAGGCACCGTTGCTCATGCTGGCTGCCCCTGCTTTCCCTTGGATTCCAAGGACACCTTGTCCCCATTCCAGCCCATCTTCTTCTCGTCCACAAGGTCTAGTGCTCCTTGGTGCCACTGGGCAAGGCAGGTGAGAGAGGAGAGAGGCTGGTGGGTATGGGCCAGGCCACGAAGCTGAGGTGCCTGCAGTCTGGGGCGCAGCCTTGGGTTGACATTCCGGGTGAGGTGACTTGGACAGAGGCTGCACTGGAAGGGCCTGGCACCAGCGTGCAGGCGAAGGTGGGTCTTGAGGTTACTGGAGCTGCTGAATCGCCTGTGGCACACCTGGTAGAAACGGGTACTCCTGTCATCTCCGCCCTCCAACTGTCTCCGGGACACCCTCCCTACCCCCACCCCTCTTGGAAACACCTCCCCTAACCCATCTCCCTGCCAATGCGGACCCAGAAGCTCTTCCTGCCGGTTAGAGTCTGTGGGGCGGGGCTTAGCTTTCTTCTTTCATTTCTGTTTGACTCTATATGACTTCCCTCAGAGTGTCTTTCTTTCTCTGCCAGCCATAGATGAGCACTGATTTTCACCCTCATCATTTAGAGACCAACTAACGTAATCACGCGGAGCCCTGACGCAAGGGGCTGCTGCATCAGGGGGTGTGGTCAGCATTTACAGGGGGGCTGGGCAAGGCAGGCACTGACCTTGCAAAGTCTTCCCAAGGAACCACTAAGTGAGCAGAAGCTCAGAGGAAAGAAGCCACTAGCCAAAGGCCACACAAACTGGGAGGAGGAGCTAGGATTTGAACCGTGGTCTGACTTTGCAGCTTAGACTCCGAACCACCACACCGTTCTCACTTCTGCTCCGGTCAAAGGAAGACTCCCTGCCTCTGCCTCCCAAAGGATGAGGTCGGACTCAAAGAAGGAACACACGGATTCGACTGTTTCCCTACTTGGAGTCTTAGCTTAAGCAACGGCTCCTTCAACAACGCAGGGAGGTAGGAAAGGGTGTGCATCCTCCGGGATCGGCAACTTCATTCATCTCCATGCATAGACAGGCGGCTGTATTTTCTTCTCCATCATTTATTCCTGTGGCCATTCCCCCTTTCCCCCTTCACACACACACACACACACACACACACACACACTCACACTCACACACGTGCACACCAGTTCTCTCCACTACCCACCTTCCCACCCTCCACACCCTCCTCCCCATCTTTATGTTTTCCAGATTAGGTAACAGGTGCCATCCCTCCAGGAACTTAGGATTCCTCCCCAAGCTGCAAGTGTTCATGTGAAGGGGAGAAGAGTGTCACCTGGCACTGGTGGGGCCGCTCCCCAGTGTGCACCAGGTGGTGCTTTTGCAGGTGGGCCAGCTGGGTGAAGCGCTTCTGACACAGGGCACACTGGAATGGCCGCTCCCCACTGTGTATACGCAGGTGAACCTGGAAGAAATGTTGCCAGCTGCATAGAACATCTGACAGGGCCCAGAGTCTACTCCAAATCTCCACCCACATCCTCTGCAGGATTTTTTGCTGGTATCCAGGCCTCTCTACCACCTCCCCCAGAAGTTAGTACCCAGATACTCTCAGGACCCAGATCTACCATGTAGCAGAGACCCAGGAAGTTAGATAAGGGGCACCCTAGATATCACCTAGAATAGCTACTTCAAGTATAATTCACAGACTAGCAGCATGGGTATGACCTTAGGAACATGCTAAAAATACAGAATCTAGGGGCTGTCCCCTAGCCCTGCTGAGTCATTAAATCTGAGTCTGGAGACCGGGAATCTGAAGGTTTGTTAACTCTGTTTCTCCAGTAACTGTAACCTGCACATAGCTTGTGGTCCTTGCTAACAGTGAGTGGCCCACAGGCAGCCTAGGCTGGATGATACCTATACAGACAACACTTACAACACCTAGCCTTATTTGTGGGATCCCACTTGAAAAAGACTGTAAGACTGTGGTCTTGATTCACCAATACCTACCCATTCCCCCTCTCTTTTTAACTTTCAAAAGCAATAAAGAAGATTAGCTGGGAACCCAGGGAGGATGCCGTATAGGAAAGAGCTTAGCAGTTGGTGCCAAGAGACTGAAATCCAAGCTTGAACCCACTAGTAATAAATTGTGGTTACCATGGAAATTTCTGTCTACTATGGGCCTCAGTTTCCCCATTTTTAACTTAAATATGGTAATGTCACACACAGTCTTTCAGGATGTAGGAGACTTTAATGTGCATCTCCTCCCCCTTTTTTGAAATGGGATCTCAGTAGGTAGCCCTCGTTGTCCTGGAAGTTGCTATGGAGACCAAGCTGGCCTTGAACCCACTGAGATCTGCCTACCTCTGACACCCAAGTGCTGCGATTAAAGGTGTGCACCACCACTGCCCACTTTTATTTTTAGATGCCCAAATAGTCCTTGGATTTGTACTGACACTCTCCTGCCTCCGTCTCCCGAATGTTAGGACCAAAAGTGTGCTCCATCAGGTGATGCTAAGATTATCCTGTATTTATTTTTCACCTGGGGGGGGAGAATAAACCTCAAGCCCACTTGTCCCTAGGAGGTGTCCAGGAGTGGCTTCCAGACTCCAAGACTTGAGTCTGGAAGCCAGGTGAAAGGCAAGGGAGTAGCCAGAAGATTGAGCTGGGTAGCAGGACCTGGGAAGCTGATACCTTGAGGTTGGAGAGCTGCCCAAAGTTCTTGCCACACACGTTACACTCGTATAAGATTTTACCATTCTCTTTCTTCAGAGGGTAGGGCAGGGCTATGACACCTGCCCGGGAGCCTGGCACAGCCCGCCTTGCCAGAGCTGCCACACCAGCTTCTCCTGGGGTCAAGGCATCTCTACAGCTCCGACTCCCAACCTGGGAGTGTTGGGTGTGTCTGGCACTCTGGAAAGCTCCGGGGTAGAGAAGCAGGGTCCTCTCTGGGGGGATACCGGGTCCGGACCCATTGGCTGTCATAAGCAAACCAGATGCAGCCATGGAGGAGTATGCAGAGTCTGGAGGCAGCATGAAGAGGTGCGGACACTGGGCGGAAGGTAGGGCCCCATAAGTGAATAGGTAAGGGAGAGGCAGAAGTGAGTACCCAGGGAAGGTGGGAAAGATGTGGATAGGGGATTCCCTGGAGAGCAGAGTGGGAGGAAGCCAGGGCCAGGAGGTCAAGGGACTAAGGATCTTTCTGTCCAGCCCAGCATCTGGGAAGGAGCTGGTATGAAAAGGGAGGGGTGGGTAGGTGCCTCTTTCTGGATGGTTTCCCATGTCCTCTCTGTTTGGTGAGTCTTTGATTGTGAGTTTCTCGCTGTCAGTAGAGGGTTTGTACAGGCTTGGTGACCGGTGTCCTGAACCAGAAAGGGAAGATCATCAGGCCCTGCACCATCTGCAGGCAAGGAGCTCAGAGGTGGGCAAGAACCCACAAGATGATGGGGCAACTTGAACTAGGCACTTTTCTCTGAGACTCAGTTTCCCCACAGCTACTGAACCTATAATAAAAGCTGCCAGTGTGCAGGGAGTGGCTGGGAAATTCAGGGAGAGAAAAATCCTATGAGCAGCCTACTAGACATCAGGGAGAGGGGAGAGGAGTCAGGTGCATAGCCCACTAGAAGTCAGGGAGAGGTTAAGTGTGCAGAGAGGCAAACTGAAATTTAAGAGAGAAGTCCCAGATTAAATTATGAATCTGGATGTCATGGGTCAAGAGGGGGCTGCCTCAGGGTCCAAAGGGGCAGCTGCTGAACACGTGACTAAATTTAAAGTACATTTAGTAAAATTTTCAGTTCTTTGTTGGGCAAGTTGGTGCATGCCTGTTGTCACAGAACTTGGGAGGCAGAGGCAGAAGAATTAGGAAGGAATTTATTGTCATCCTTGACTCCATAGTAAGCATGAGGCCAGCCTGGGCTACATGGAATCCTGTCTCAATAAAAGCAAACAAAAAATATTAAAAATTATAGGGACCCCCAAGATGGCTCAGCAAAGAAAGGTGCTTGCTGACAAGCCTGAACATCTGAGTTCAAGCCCCAGAATCCACATGGTAGAAGAGAACTAAATTCTGAAGGGTGTCCTCTGACCCTTCCCTGCTCACCAGGTACCCAGGCAGCAAAGTTTGTCTGGGGTTCTGTCCTCACCAGTGACAGAGTCCCAGTCCCCTCTGCATCCCCAAACCTGTGTCCCCTTCAACCAACCAACAGTGCTCTCGGATCCAGCCCCAAGGCCCCAGACTCACTAATGTTTGAGGTGTTCTCTCTGAGATCCTGTGGGGCTCTGCCTAGAGGTGTCTTCTGCAGGGCACACAGGCATAGGTCCAGGCCTTCTGGGCAGGCCAGCAAGGGAGACTTAACTGATGCCAATGGTAAGGGGCACATCGTCTCGCTCCAGGGTAAATCGTGAACATCCATTGTGTCTGGAAGTGGCTGAGACAAGTCAGCTGAGCAGACCTGGGAAACAGAAAGAGGGGCTTGTGGACCTGGAATTGGGAGTCTTTTGTATAGACTCACCCTTTGTTTGATTTCTAAGAGGAAGTAGATAAGCCATGGACACCCACTCGCTACATCTTTCATTCAAATGGCTCTCCTTCCCTTCCAAAGGTTTCTCCAAGGGCTTTGTTCATTGAGTGTCTCCTCTTCCCCATATAATTTGTTCTGTTCTCCTTCTAACTCCCGACTCCTGATCACCCTGGTATTCATCTGTTGGTTATTCTGAATGACACTAAAGTCAACTTAGGGGAAAATCCCCATGCAAGACTGCAAACAGCACAGGATGGTTCTGAGCCCCTTCCCACTAAAGTCCAAGTCCATACACACCCAGCCTTGCTAAAGCCTACAGGTGAGCCGCCTAAAACATGTGCTCAGAGCCTCTGAGGTCTAACCCATTCATGCATTCCACCGTTCCTATTAGTTGGCAGACATTCTCAGAGAGACAGGTAAAGCCCACCCTACCTGGTCATCTTGATAGAGCTGGAAGTCCAGGCTTGGGGACAGGGAGTCTCCTAAACCATCCAGGGCTTTCATCTTGTAGCAACCACCCAACCTGGCAGCTGGTTTTCCCTTCAAGCTCCCACTACCTGATAAGGAGAGGGGTGAGTTGAGGGGAGCTCAGAAGGCTGGGTTCTACCTAGCACTGGTTCACTCACTGTGACGTGAGGCTGTCACTGGTTCACTCACTGTGACGTGAGGCTGTCACTCACTGTGAAGTGGGGCTGTAAGCAAGTCACTTTCTTCCTGGCTTCAGTTCCTCGATTTGAGAAACAGAGGACAGGGATTGGAGACGAGACACAGCTTAGTTGGCAGAGCTGGTGTCTAGCATGCATGGGGTCTTGAGCTTGATTCCCCAGCAATACATAAACTGGGCGTGGTGGTGGGGACACTGTAATTCAGGCACTCAGGAGGAAAGGGGGGAACTCCAAAAAGTAAAGAAAAATAGGTATGTCCTAGCTAATGTCTGTCTGTTTGGTTGGTTGCTTGTTTTGTTTTGTTTTTCAAGACAAGGTTTCTCTGAGTATCTGGCTATCCTAGAACTTGTTCTGTAGACCAGGCTGGCCTCGAACTCAGAGATCCATCTGCCTCTGCCTCCCGTTTGTATCACCACCATCTGACTGACAAGTCACTAATGTCCTTTTTAGTCCTGACATGCAGAAGACAATGACTTCTCTGGAAAGTGCAGACAGGATATTTAACGAAGAGGAAAGTCCTCAGAGGGAACATTCTGGATTCCTCGAGGTTGTTGAGAATTAAGGAGCCTGCTCTTTTCGTGGAGAATAGGACTATACCAACCAGAGGTTCCTACCATCCAGGCTTACCTAGGTGGCTTTTCTGGGAAATATTAGGAAACATTGAGAGATGCCCCAAGCGCTACCTGGCTAGCCTGACAAGAAGATTCCTCAGTGTTCAGCTGGATCCCAGTTGGCTCCCTGCTGCTCTGGCATCTTCATCTGAGGCCACAAAATACAGGGGTCAACTTGGCTAGGCAAATCCCACCCCACCCTCCCCTGGCCCCAGTGCTCCTCAGACTCTAAAACTCTCAATCCAGTGACTCAGACCCCCCAACACCCTGCTCTTTCCCTCTCTCCCAACTGTTGCTCTGCGTTAGGTCTCAAATACCGTGGCCTGGAAGGCGCCGGCTGGCCATGTGCGCTTTTCTCCAGGTTCCGCAACAGCCCTCTCTGGCTGGGCAGGAAGGAGGGCGGGCAGGCGGGCAGCAGTACTTGTATCTGAGGCCCCAGGGGGTGAAGGAGTTGACAGGAAGATGCAACACATTTGAAGTTGCCTTAAATAGACTTGCAGGAAAGAAAGAGAGGGGTTCCGAGCAGGATGCCAAGGCCCCTTTGTTCCTAAGACACAATCTTCTCGTTTGGATTTTTTCCCTCTTTTTGAAACAGGGTCTCCCATAGCTGAGGCTGGCCTTGAACTCCTCCTGGTCCTCCTTCATCTGTTTCCCAAGCACTGGTACTGGGAGCACATTTACCACACCCACCTCTCAGACTGGGGTATGAGTTTTGGCTGTGATCCTGGCTGCACACCTCTCACCTCTATTCATATAGTATGTTACTATTGTTTTGAGACAGGGTTTCATGTAGCTTAACCTCATGACTCTCTCTATAACCCAGGCTAGCTCTGAACCCTGATACCCTCCTGCCTCTACCTCTTAAGTTCTGAGATTGCAGTCCTGGACTTCTACAGCTGGCCTTTTGTTTGTCTGCCTGATACATTTCTCCTCTGTGCAGTCAGGCAAAGGCTCTCCCACGGCAGCCTCTCCATTTTACAATGGGAAATCCATGTGACATACACTCCAACTAGAAGATGTAGCAACAGGGTTAAGGTGAGCGTCTCCCAAGGATCAGCGTAAACAGCTACTCTCTTAAGCTGCTTGCTATGTGCCTGGTCCTGTGCAAGGACCTTCAGGTGCTTTAACCTTTTAATCACCACAAATCTGAGGAGTTGGTTTGGTTATTCCCACAATCAATGGGCTCAGATGGAGTAAAAAACTCATCCGAAGACCGGGCGGTGGTGGCGCACGCCTTTAATCCCAGCACTTGGGAGGCAGAAGCAGGCGGATTTCTGAGTTCGAGGCCAGCCTGGTCTACAGAGTGAGTTCCAGGACAGCCAACGCTACACAGAGAAACCCTGTCTCAAAAAAAACCAAAAAAAAAAAAAAAAAAGAAAGAAAGAAAAAAGAAAGAAAGAAAGAGAGAGAGAAAGAAACTCATCCGAAGTCACACAGTCTCTAGTGTCAAACCTTAGACTTTGGGATATCTTGGCAATGTGAATTCCTCATTCTAAAATACAGAGAGATCTGGGTACCTGGGTCCTGGCAGTCACTGTTCAATACTGTCCCTTCTCCTGGTTTGCCTGCTATTTATTCATTAGCCTACTCGGGGCTAAACCCAGGGCCTTGCACACGTAGGCAAGTGTTTTACCACTAAATAATATCTCAACTCTTCCTTTTGCTTTTTTGGAGTTGTGTTTGTGTACATGCATGTGTACATACATATATGTGTGCATCTGTGTATACATGCATTGTGGGCACATGTCTGTGGAAGTCAGAGGGTAACATCAAGTTTCTTCTTCCATCATCCTCCATAAAATACATATATTCCTTTATATGTATACTTTTATGTATATATGTATGTTAAAATGTTTATTTTTTAAGTGCATGTGTGCATGTGTGTGTGTGTGTGTGTGTGTGCACATGAGCACAGGTGCTTAGAGAGGCGACAGCAGCCAGATCCTCCAGGATCTGACGTTACAGGCAGTCAGGAGCCACCTGATATGGGTGCTGGGAAACATACTCCAGTCCTGAACAAGAGCAGTAAGTGCTTTTACCCATGATCCATCTCTCTAGGCCCTCCATTTTATTTTTCAAAACAAGGTCTTTCACAGCCCAGTCCCTTCTACTGTTTTAAAATTTTAAAAAATATTTATTTTCCCAGATGTGGAGGAATGATACCCCTGGCTATCCTGGAACTCACTCTGTAGACCCCACAGGCCTTGAATTCAGAGATCTGCCTGCCTCTGCCTCCTGAGTGCTTGGATTAGAGCTATGTGGTACATGCTACCACTGTCTGCCCCTTCCACTTTTGTTGTTGTTGTTGTTTATTGCCCAACAAAACTTCTATTAACATTTTTAACAGAGGTTCAACTATTGCTGAAACTTGTAATTTCTAAATGTGATTTGGGGCAAATGAACCAGTAAACAGGTGAATGAACATTAAGTTTGTTGAAGGGTTTTTTTTGGGGGGAGAGTGTTAGATTATTTTTATTATTTTTAACTGTGTGCATATGTGTGCCCATATGTGGGTATGTACCAGTGTGCACAGGTCCCTGAGGCCGCCAGCGTCACCCCTCTGGAGCTGGACTTACAGACAGTTGTGAGGTATGTAACATGGGCACTGGGAACAGGAAGTTCTCTTAGCTGCTGAGCCATCTCTCCAGCCCCTAAGTTTTGATTTTAATCTGTGCATTTAATTACAGAGTGTGTGTCATCTGCTCTCTTTCTGTCCCCAGCATCGATACTGTGCCTCTCTTGGTTCATGTCACACCTGTTGCCTACTCTGTCCTGGCTGGGCAGTGCTCCTTTGGTGCTCCTCTGCAGGGCCGTGCTCCCTTATGGTCTTCCCCTATGGGTGGACAGGAAGAGAGAGACAAAGCTGGAAGAGCGCCGGCAGAGTCAACGCCGTGTGGAGCGGTTGATCTGGCCCTGCTAGATTTATTTCATGCAACCATAAGTCTCCTAATCTCTCTTGTTTCTTCATCTGTCAATCTGTCCATCTGTCTCTGCCTTATGGAAGTTTGTCCAGGATCCCTCAAAATTATCAGTGTAAAGCCCTTTAGGCTGAGCCTGGGCCTCAGCAAGCACTTGGAACAAGCGAGTAGCTGTTTAGTGTGTTTCACTACCCCATCAGACGGGGACCTAAGACAGCTTCCTAGAGGGTTCAAAAAGGCAGGGCTGCACTGGGGTAAACTGAGTTCTGGTTTATGGCTTTGTTCATTAACCCCTTCGTGGCTGGAGACGACCGCCCATATGCAGTACAGTCTGCTCCGAGCCATTGACACCCCACCTCATGGCATGACAGCTCTCATTGTGTCCCAGCAACTGGGTAGGAGGTGCCTGCAAGCTTTGCCTCACCCCATCAGCACCATGACCCGTCAAGACGGATGCTATAGTTCCCAAACCCGCACTCCACAAAAGAAAGTGATTTGTTCAACATCACAGAACTCCTGATGTGAAGACAGAACAGAGGAGGTGAAAGGAGTTTTTGCAGGGCTGTGAGGTGAGCCGAAGCTTCAGTTCCGTAAGGTGAGATGCCTAGAGACAGAATGAGGAGGATGGCTGAGAGCACTAGAGAGAGCAGGGCCAGGCGGTATGATCCAGAAGCTGAGGCAGGAGGATCCCAAGTTCTAGGCCAGCCTGGGAATTCTAAATGAAAAAAGAACAGGGAGGAGAAAGGAGGAGGAGGAGCAGGAAAAGGAGAAGGAGGAGAAGTAAAAGAAAAAGGAAGGAAGAGGGAGACGGAGGCTGGGCAGACAGGGAAGTAGCTCTTACAGAAGACTAGAGTTGGAGTCTGACACCCCTGCTAGAAACCCCCTGTAACTCCATCTTCAAGAGATCCAGCGCCCTCTTCTGGCCTCAGAGCGTACCTGCACAGGAGCACAGACACATTACATGTAAATTTACCAAAATCTTAGCTAGGCCTGGTGTCACACACCTTTAACCCCAGCACTGGAGAGGCAAAGGCAGGTGAATCTCTGTGAGTCCAGGGCCACCCTGATCTACATAAAGAGCTTTCACCAGCATTCTGAGACCCTGCTTCAAAAAATAAATAAACAAACAAACAAACAGCTGGGCGGTGATGGCGCACGCCTTTAATCCCAGCACTTGGGAGGCAGAGGCAGGCAGATTTCTGAGTTCGAGGCCAGCCTGGTCTACAGAGTGAGTTCCAGGACAGCCAGGACTACACAGAGAAACCCTGTCTTGAAAAAATAAAATAAATAAATAAATAAATAAATAAATCTTAAAGCAAAGAAAGAGAAAAGGGGAGCTGAAGAGATGGCTCAGTGGTTAAGGACACTGACTGTTCTTTCAGAGGCCCCCAGTTCAATTCCTAGCACCCACATGGTGGCTCACAACTGTGTGTAACCGCAGCTTCAGGGGATCCGACACCCTCATACAGACATACATGCAGGCAAAACATCAGTGCACATAAAATAATGAAAATAATTTCTTAAATTTTTAAAAAGAGAGAGAAAAAACAAATTTTTGAATACATTGGGAATTAGCTGTGAGTGTCAGGTTGTAGATACTTCTTGTGTGTAGTGCCGGAGATTGAACTCAGGGACTGTCATCTATTTTAAGCACATTCTTATGTGTGTGTTTGGTTGCTTTGAGACAGAGTTTCAAGCAGATTAGGCTGGCCTTCGACTCTCTGCATAAGACAAGCCGAGCCTGCAGCTGGACCTCTTTCCTCTACCTCTCAAGAGCTGGGATTGCGGACGTGTGTCACCATGCCTATTTCAGGCACCTTTACACACACACACACAAGGTCACGGTGGCCATGATTACTATGTTAATGGTGAATTGATGACTAGTATTTGGCTGGAGTAATCATTTCACTGTATGAATTTGTGTGTTTATACATACTCATAAAACTTGTCAACCTTAAATATATGCATATACATGCACACATATAGACACATATTTCAATAAATATATACATATATTTTAAAAATCACATTTAAGTTAGTGTTGAAAAGTCCCCTAGGAGAAAGAACATATAGGCTCTATGAGGTAGTATGATAAAGGACCATAAAATGCCCAGAAAAATATCAAGATACAATGGACAGAGGTCCAGGTTAGGGTTAGGGAAGTGAACTAGCATCTGGCAACACTCCAGAACCTGCCACTCGCTCATCCACATATTTTGAGACAGGATCT